GCTCTTGGGCTTGGAATCCTTTGGACCCCCCTGACCTTTCCCATCTTTGCCTTTGGCTTTGCTATCACCTTTACCTTTACCTTTGGCATCCCCACCTTTACCCTTTGAGCTCTTTGGCGGAGGCGGCTTAGGTGACGACTTCACAGGCGGTGCCACGGCTGCTTTCGCAGAAGGATCCGGCTTTGCCGGAGATGATGGAAGTGCAGAAGCCCGACCACTGCCATCCTTTGGATTGCTTGGCTTTGCCGTTGTGGTCAGCGACTTCTTGACAGACTCTTGGTTGGTGTCTTCTTTCAACTCATCAAGGTATTCACCAAAACGGTTCCAAAGCCAACCAAAAGAACGCTTCTGAGAATTGACACCACTGTCCCTAATACGATCAATGTGTCTTCTCATGCCGTTGCATTTCTTCAATCTTTCGAACAAGAAAATATACTTGGTTTGCTCTGATGGCTGCATGTTTGGCTGGATGCTGTTGAGAATGAACTCTACACGATCATAGAAGAGACGCAGATCAGACTGTGCAAAAGAATCCAACGGGAGCTCAAGAAGAGCCTGCTGTGTCAGCTGTGAACCCCTCATGCGATCCAAGGCAAAAGCTTTCGAAACCTCATGCAACATTCTGCGACCCTTCAATGGCACGGCCTGGAGCTGGGCTCTTTCAAGATAGCCCTGAAACCTCATGCCAATGTTCCCTGACATGTGCTTTGGTTCACTGAGTTGCCCAGCCAGCCATGCATCCAAACGAGGCAAGCCATCAGAAAAGTTCTCAAGGTGAAAAAGGATTTGTTCATTCGAAGGTTCAAAGGCCGTCTGAGCCCATCTCATGATGACTCCCAGGCCCGTCCTGTCGATGGATGACAGCTTTGCTATCAGCGAGTTCCTACAACCCCGAAAGGCTGAAGCATCCCTTGGAAGACTCGGCACTGACAGGTTTGACAAATCCTTTCCCCTATAGACGTTGTCCTCATCCCCAATGAAAGCACCACCCGGCATAAAATCACCATATGGGTTACCATTCCCTCTTGGTGGATCATCCCCTGGTGGTCCTCCTTCGCCCCCGTTTTGGATCCCCTGTCTTGCAACAATCAAAGGCTGTGCCTGACCATGCCATGACTCATCCGCATCAGGATCATCACTACCATCATCATCGTCATCGTCCCCTCCATCTCCAGGGTCGCGTGAGGCGAACGCCTGGTGGGAACCCTCATGAAAACCGAAATTATTGGGAGGTGATGGTTGTGACATGCGAGAACCAGCCAATTGGTTGATCTGGTCCTGCATGGACTTCATAGACTCCCCAATCTGCTGCCCCAATGCCTTGACAGCATCTGTCATGTGAGCCTGAAGCTCTGCTGTCGCACTAGAGGCCTCGGACGGTGCCTTTGGCGTTGGTATCCTGGGTGGCCTACCTGATGTGGATGTTGGGCTTCCATGGACTGGTGACGGATGAACTGGGGGTGGAACATCATGAACAAAATCCGCGCTATTTCGGCTCTCAGTCAACAAATGTTCAATCTGCCTCTGCTGTTGCATCAACTGATCCTGCAAGGCTTGAATCATCTGTTGTTGCAAGTTGATTTGATGTTGTTGTCGTTGATGTTCGGCCGACGCTGTCTGAATGATTTGATGTTGATGCATGTTTTGTTGTCTCAACTCTTCATTCTCAGATGACGCTGTTTCAATGATTTGATTCACTTGTCGTGTTGCTGACTCCACTACCCTGTTCGCCTCCACATTTGCCTGAAAAGCTAACCCTTTTGCAACATGCTCCGCCTCCAACACGGCCCTTTGAGCCTGCGCCTGGATGTTGAGGGCTGTTGCCCTGGCTTCGTCTGCTTCCCGTCGAGACTGCTGATCCTCAATGTGCACATGCTGATGGACCGATCTTTGATCTACAAAGGTCTGATCAACATGATGGTGTTGTTGAATGGATCTCTGATCTATGTGACCTTGTGCAGGTAAACTACCATGAGGGTTCATGAACTCGTCATCGTCATGAAAACCAGGTTGAAAACCAGCACAGGCACTGTCTAAACCCGGTGCAGTTGCAAAAACACCTACATTGGGTGACGCAGGATGTGCGCTCTGGGTTGATACAGTCAAAACTTTGGGTTTGCCTTTCCTATTGATATTGGATTTCTTAACCCCTTTTCTTTCTGAAGAACTCCTGCTTGATTCCCTGGATGGTTGTCGGGAGTGACTTCTGCTGGCATTCCCTTGGTGTTCAACCACAGTTGTCATGGCAGCAGCTCGTTCCCCCATCGGCTGTTCTGTGGAGGAAACCATCTGTGAACTAGATGATATGGAAAGTGAACTTGATTCAGGTGGAGAAAACCCAGTCGACATTGAAAATTTGATCTGGTTTTCGTCCCAAATCTCGCCCCAAAATTGGAGCCCTTTTTGTTGTGCAATCCCGGTCGCAGGATGCGAGCACAGGAGATGTGAAGGTTCTGTCAACTGAAAAACGGGGGTTATGCCAAATCCCTCGCAGGAGAACACAACACAAAAAAAATGAGAAGATTGGAATCGCAATCTGTCTTGGTGGGTTTGCAACAATTAATCAAATACTAAGGTTCGATCGACTCAATGAATGGGGAGAACACAAAGTAAAAGATGAATGTAACCTCTTTTTTTTTTGTTTTATGGAATAATCCGAAGAGTGTACTCACTCCCAATAACCAACTGGTGTGACCCTTTTACTCGACCCTCCCACTGCTCAATCGCGCGTCTCAGCCCTTGATTGCAGTGGATCAATCTCACGAATTGCGAACCTGCCAAGACCCTTCTGCAGTCGCTGATGATGCCCCACTTGTCGTCGATGAAGCACACCCAGAACTTTTCGCCAACAGGGAGTTGTTCTAGGAACTCCGATTTGCACCAGTCAGCTGGGGTTTTGCACTCTCTGATCACCCTCCTGGGCGTGATGACAATTGGGATTGTCACTCTGGTCTCCTGAGCAAGCTGAACAACGCAACTTCGCACGTGTTCAATGGTGTCTGGATCTCGGCAAAAAGATAAACACCCGATGTAAGCGCCTTCTCGGGACAAAGTGCGAACAATGGAGCACGATTCTTCCCAATCAAGATCAATGACCCCGTGGAAGTCTAGAAGCGCTAAGGCAATCTGTTTGGAATGTCCACCCTCGATGCCAAAAGCTTGAAGCAGATCGTCTGCTGCTTCCCTAGGACCACTTGCTTGAATCAGCGTTGCCCCTCCAACTCTTTGCTGCCGACGAGTCGATGAGGAAGGCCGGGGTGATCTTGACCTACTTGGCGGCGGATGGTTGGGCGGTGTCGGCCCTGTGGCTAACGCTGCAGCTGGTGCAGCGCTTGCTCTCGAACCAGGGCGAAACACGAGTTCAAGGTGTTCCACACTCAACCCCGCGTCGCGTGCGAAGTCTTCTGAGTCTTGATAATCCGCAATTCGCTTCCCCAATGTTGCTGCAAACTTGATGACCCGATGTAACTGATGAAACAGGTCAGCCTCGCTTGACGTCAACTGCGACTTTTGTCCAAGCGCGTGGTGTGCTTGAGTGAGGGGAAAGAGATACCAGCGTCTGAGTTCTCTCAATCCGGTCTTTCCACCACGAGTTGGCCGAGGGAGTATCTCACTCATACAACGGGGCACAGCAACAAAGACACTAAACAAACAGCACCTGTTTGGGCCAACGTCTGCGTGTCAAGGTCTTTCTTTTCTCCCTTTCTTTAGGGTCACAGTTGGTCTTGTTGTTCCAATTTTCAGGGAGCGCGTCGCCTAAAGCGATCAGCGTCCAGTATTCGATATGGAAGTACGGCTTGTGGGTCGCAGGTGCGAACACCACAGGTTAATGAGTCTTAAGAATGTGAATACGAAAACGAACTTGGAAGATTACGAGCGAGGCTTAGACCAAGCTACTAGCAACCCCAAAGTCTCTTGCTGCACTTATTGGTCAACACAGCGGTCGCAGGAAGCGAACACACTGCTTGCTCACCAAGGCTCTAAATCCAAGATGGGCAGACGCTTCGAGCACGATCCAACCTGTTCAACGCGATTTGTTGGTTGGAAAGATGCCCAAAGACGGGGAATGGATACTCTAAGCAGGTGGGTGGCTCAAGCCCAACAAGTCAAAGATACCCAAAAGATAAAACCAAATATGTAAGGACCACGGCCGTACCCGCTCGGGTGAGCAGGTACGGCTGATAACCAGTTATTTGAATGCAAAACTCACCCGGTACCCGCGCAAACCAAGACACCGGACTGTTTTACTTGAGCCAAATGTAACATATTGAACTATGTGAAACCACGGGTCAAGCAGTGGGTAAAAGCATGACCTTTAAGTTTCCTAGTCCTGCTACGCCTGAGAAATGTTATGTACCAGAAGTGTATGTCCCATTCAACTAATTATGTACATATATGTGAATTTCACAGTGAAACTGCTCGTGCTTTCGCCCTGGAATTTCTCGAGAAATACTTGGGATTTCATCCACGAAGTAGCAGTGGCTGAAGTTCTTCAAAAGTCGGAATTGGATGACCAGAATTTGTAAAACGACCCCATTTTTTCCAACAAAAGGACAGATTTTTGTACACATCAATTTTGGTGCAAACGGTATCAGCAGTTTGCAGCCAAACTGTTCAAGGTCTAGTTCATATCGTGGTAATTGGTTTAATTCGGTAAAGCCAAGACTACAAACAATACCATATATTTACATATATTTACCCAAATCGACCATTCGAGGGTTTTGAGACCATACCAAAACCAGTGTTGGGATTGCTATGGCTTGCTGCATGGGGTACACATGCGGTGTCAATGCAATTTCCCCATGACAGTATACTGTAGTTGGTTTTCCCATCAAAGTGGCTCGGTATACTGGCTGGTGATGTTCCATTTATAGATATTTATAGCAAAAAAAAACTAGCCGTCCAGTCACCTATCACAAAGCTTAGAGTTCACCCAGTCATCAAAGAACTTCAAAAAATGCCATGTGCTGCTGCCAAGACATCCAAAACATCCAAGACTCATACAGCTGACTCTGCACCTTCGTGGCATCCCCGCCGCGCTCCTCAGAATTCGAAGAATGGATTGTGATCGCCACGGATCGAAGCCTAATATGTTGCAGATGACCAACCAAGATTCATCAGTTCCTGGAGTATCCAATGTATTGCCAGATGTTTGATGCTTAAAAACTTGATAAATGATGGTATATGATGGTTTACATGCCACGGAAACACCCCTTATCATCAACTCTTTGCCTTTTCTCAAAATGGCGCTTTGTCTTCAAATTGTCCAATGGATCACCATGATCATCCCGATTCCGATCAGTGAGTTTGGGCATCCATGGTTCTTTGAAATAGAAAGCACAAATAAAATGTTTATATATGTTTTTGTGAATGAGGCTCTGAGGGTTGAATAACCATGTGATTTCTTGAGGACTAAATCTGGCCAAGGCTCCAACATACTCCAACCCATCCCAACAGACCAATTTATCGAAAATCATACCGGTCAAATGCAGCCAGGAATCTGGATTGCCCCAAGCAACCACGGTGCCAGAAGATTTCAACAAAGCAAAGGCAGGGCAAATGAACGAAGAACAAAGTTGCGGACTCCGTGCACAAGCGTAAAACCTCGCATCCACATTGCAGACTACAGTTAAGGCCCTTTACCAGTTGTAAATGGTTACAGATGTGATAATTCCCTAAATCAAGGCTAGAACTGACTTATAACATCTTATAACTGGTAAAGGGCCATAACTGTAGACAAATATACAACCTGCTGTACCTGTCCCTGTGTCTTCACTCAAAGCCGTTTTGTTTTCTCGACGTGTACAGTAGAACATGTTTACCTTGTGTGCTCATACCAAACGTCGAAGGCAACTGGCCATTGGCTTCCTCTATCTTCCATGTCATTTACATTCATGGTGTTGTTCAGGCATGTTGTCGATTCGAATACCATCCGGTGTCATCAAACAGGAAATCCTCTACAATGTGAGGCCCCGGTTCGATAGCCAAGTTGGTGAACATAACTCCAATAACTATGGTTTATGGTACGCAAAAAACTATAGTTACTGGGGCTTATAAACCAAGAAACATCACTGGGGGGCCTCACATTGTATAGATTGCCCCAAAAACATAGAGATTCCCCAAGTAGTGGATGTCCCATTGGGAAAATAAGCCAGTTATATAGCCAAATCATCTTCATCGAAGATCCTTGGTGAAATCCGTGCAAAAAAAACCTCCCATGAATTGTGGTTTTTCCTATATTTTCCCATGAAAACAACCATCATAATAACATTCACCAAACAGTCCACGTGATGCCTCCAAGTGACGTCAAGTTCTCGGACAGGATCTCCTCGCAGCGTCGCTGGCCTTCCGAAGGGCAGCTTGAAAGGCTGGGTAAACACCAAACATGGCTGGAAATCCCCAAACACCCCCAAAATGCTAGGGACATGCTAGGAAAATGGAGATTATATGGAATATGTTTATCCATTTATATATATATATATATACAATGTGAGGCCCCCCAGTTGTAAGTTTGTTTATAAGCCCCAGTAACTATAGCTATAAGTACCATAAACCATAGTTATTGGAGTTATAAACCAAGTTAGCTATCTTGGGGGCCCCACATTGTATATAATATGAGATCCCACCCAAACTAAATGAATGTTTTCGAACATCATCTATCTTCCTGGTGGATTTTCCATTGCCGTGTCTGATTGTTTTAGTTCAACACTTTCCTGCCGGCCATCACTGCATCAAAACATGCGCAAAAAAAACAGTAACAGTGCGTTTAACAACCTAAGAACAAATCACACGTCTTAGGAATTTACGCAGTGATGATTGTAAACGTATTGAAAGACTTGCAAGAAACTTACAGCAATTACAAATCTGTGTATACACAGTCAGGACTTTCAGTGAGGATCCATGATGTCCAAACAAAAACAGGCTGAAGTTTCATTGCCCATGGATTCAGTACCACTAGTTATTGACAGCCAAATTTCGGACATACTTGGGATCCTCGCTATTTTCTCAACAGCAAGCAGCTCTGGTACAATCACAACACTATCACAACTAATGACATAAAAACATACCGTTTCCTGTTTAAATTGTTTGGTTTCCCTCCAGCGAATGTCCCAACATGTGGATGATTGATGATTTGATTGCGCCACACAAAGTACATCAGACTCGACAGTCTCTTGAACCAAAACATAGACGTAGGAAGACCATGGAAGACCATGGAAGACCTGTGTAGCCGCAGCATGACCATATATCCCATAGGATCCATGTATGCTATATTTCAGGTAACATGGATCCCATCAATAAACCCCCTGTATGTTAGCATATATATATATACCAGCACCATGGATCCGTCATGGGTATGACCATGGCCTTCCAATTCGCAGCCATCTTCAGTCACTAAGCATCGAAGTCCAAGTTGAAATTCCTCCTCTGAGAGGATGATCCCAGTACTGAATTCCAACTCAGATCCTAGCTATGCTGCTTGGTGGTTGACCTACCCCTTTGAAAAATGGGATGATGAAATTCCCAATATATGGAAAAATAAAACATGTTCCAAACCACCAACCAGTATGAGTTGTCATCGCAATTGTACTTGGAAAACACACAACTGGCAGGGGTCGATGGACCGATCATGTTGTCCCAATTGGGATTCGTATTTATCTGCTATTATTGTCACTGACAATATTTGGGGGTTTCCTGCTACAGTTGCTATAGCATGCTCAATATGCTAGTGACCACGTCTTGTGGAGATGACACCCCCGTGCAAAGAAATGGCAAACAAACTCCAATGACTCCCAACAAATCCACTTTGCTCTTGACGAGCAGTGTCAAGTTCACACAGCACTGCACTCATATCAATTCATATCAACTCATATCATAATGGATATAAACTGATATAAAATCTTAATTTCATATAACATCATAATTTCATATAATTTCATATCAATTCATAATGGTTGGGGAGTTCTGGTTTGCTCAACCTCCCCACCTCTCAATATTTGCCGTTTCTGTCGCCAGTCCTGCGCCTTTCGCCGCAAATCATCAACCTTGGCGGTGACAAACGGATTTGAATCTGGCATTGCTTTGTCCTGGATACCCTCTGGTAAACGTTTACATAGCTATGGAAAATCACTATTTTCAATGGCTAAATCCACCAACTAAATCACCATTTTCAATAGCTATGTAACAAATTACCAGAGGGTAAGCCTAAAATCAAATGAATGATCACCATGTGGCATAGGTTTACGGCATCTAAAAATGATTTTAGACATTTGGATCAAATGGTTCATCGTCATCAAATGAAGAAACACCAGGCTAGTTCTGAAAAAAAAAAACTTGGACTGGAGTAACCTTTATTTAAAAGAAAAAACATATATGCCGCCTTTATCCTGGATGCTCAGCAGGACATTGTTTGTTTCTTTTCATGTTAAGTTCTTTTGCCATCAGAACCACCATTGGTTTCCAAAGGATCATAAATATTCTTAATTACCAGAAAGGGTCAGGGTCACTTGATTAAATTCTATGGGTCTTGGAAGCCCAGTGTCAAAGAAATTTGATTGGACACATCAAATCTAAGCCTTAAGCTGACTTTTCCATTGACCATTACGAGCATCACATGCTGCTGTCCCAAAATCTGTGCCATTGATTGCTACTTGACCCCCAGGATGCCTATCGGGGTTCGACCAAGAAGCTGACCCAAGGTTTTCCGGAGAATCCAGTCACTTTGAAATACTGAACCTATAGCCTCTGGTAAACGTTTACATAGCTATGGAAAATCACCATGTTTCATGGGAAAATTCACTATTTCAATGGCCATTTTCAATAGCTATGTTGAATTACCAGAGGGTATAGCTGATCTTCTTTGACTCAAACGTGAGGGCGTTGTTTTTGTTCGATCACTTTGATCAAACCTTGAGTGGTGTTGTTATGATCCCAAACCCTGGCCCAACATTAATACTGGGATCATCATCATCATCATCACCATCACCATCACCATCACCACCATCACCACCATCACCACCATCACCACCATCATCAGCATCATCGTCATCATCATCATCACCACCATCACCACCATCACCACCATCACCACCATTATCAGTAGCATCATCGTCATCATCATCATCATCATCACCATCACCACCATTATCAGCATCATCGTCATCATCATCCGCATCATCATCATCATCATCATCATCATCATCCTCCTCCTCCTCCTCGTCGTCGTGGTCGTCGTGGTCGTGGTCGTGGTCGTGGTCGTGGTCGTGGTCGTGGTCGTGGTCGTGGTCGTGGTCGTGGTCGTGGTCGTCGTCGTCGTCGTCGTCGTCGTCGGTCCGTGGAGTCGTATCCTGTTTATCCTATTGTCCAATCACGGATGAATCCACATGCATTGGAATCGTCGTTCAGTAGCCCAAAGTCCTCAAAGTTTGAGATCGAATTTGGGAACTGGTAGGAGTTCATGTTGCTTGAGAGTATTAAATGAAATCTGACCGTGTCCAAACATGGAAGGTACCTTCTGGTCATTTAACATAGAAATGCAACATGGCCCATTTGTAAATGATATAAGATGATTCACCTATCAACAGTGGATATTTACCATACCTGCGAAACCCGAGTGCAGGAAAAAAACGCGATGGACCATCTTGGTTTGAAAAAACGCGATGGAAAACAAAAATTGCGATAAAACCAAAAAAATGCGATAAATTATTTTGCCAAATTGCGGCACCCACAGCCTCGTTCTCTTTTAAGTCTGGGCACCATGGATTCGGAGAATTGGTTCTGTGGAAATAAAAGATAGAGAGGCGGGATCTTGAAATTTTTGGGCCATGGCCACACATGCCGGAAATGTTGGTTTTAAAATGGTTGAAACATATGTCCGCAAATTTCCGCGATATTCCCGCAAATTTCCGCGATATTCCCGCAAATTTCCGCGATATTTGTGTTTTGTTTTGTTTCTACAAGAAATATGTTGCAAACCTGTTTTCAACTGTTGTGAGAGTTTAGCTCAGGCATATCACCCAATTTTTTGGGATTGCCTTTTTCATAGCTTCAGCCAAGATTGCCTTTTCATATTATGTAATGGAAAGGGCGGCCAAAGCGTGTGAAGAACCTGAGCACACCTGAAATGACCAAAAATTGCGATATTTCAAATTTTCAAGCCTTTCCCATCCCGGATCTTCAAAAAGTAGGTTTTGTTGAATATCACTTTTTTTTCTGGCACTTAGGGCGCCCCAGGTAGCTACATTAAATAACCAGATGGTAGCCACAGCTCAATTTATGGCACGTTTCGTAGGGAAACTTCGACACTTTTGATCAGCCACGAAGTTGGGTGGTGCCTTATTTTGAGTCAAAACCATCTAGCAGTGAGGCCAATTGTTGGGTCAACATTGAGAAGGAGTGGATTTCCCACATGTGCAGACCCCTGGAATCAGAAGCGGTGAATATAACTCTGGCGATATTGCATTCATAGCTGGTGTATTCCATTCAATAACAGTGGTATTGCATCCAACCTGGGCCATTAGTCTAACTTGGGTATCTCATATCATTATTTCCAACATCCATGATTCTTTGGCCCCACGCCCCCGTGACAATTTGTCAAAGCACCGTGCGGTATTTGGACGTGACTTCAAAGCTGGTACTGCGCCCACTGAGCAGCGTGACGCGAATCAACATGGCGTTGCTTCGCTGCTTCCTACGATGCCTGATAAGGATTCCCACAACGGAGTATGTACATATCAATCTTTATAGTGTAACCAACAAAAGATAGAAGAAAAAATACCGCTTGTCACTAATAGTATCTAATAGCGACACAATATATTTCTATAGTACTCTATATAGTTGATTTTTTTCGTATCCTCTATCATTGTGATAGTTAATCAATCTGCTACTTACTGTAGAGTTCTTGAAACTTGCCATTTAGGTGACTAATGCTTGGCAAATGAAAGGGTACTATGCATAAACATGTTAGAGTAGGCATGTGGTGCCATGTGTTCTCAACTCTTGACCTGGAACATACCAAAACAAACATGAACACCTGGTGTTCAACTTCCAAGTCGGGAACTTCGGAACCACACCTTGGTTCATGGTGAACTACGTTAACTATAGTTCACAATGTTAAGTGATGTCAACATCTTCATTGACCAATTGAATCTACTAAGATTAATGTTCAATTGGTAGTTAATGGTCATGTTCACATTAACCAGTTGAACATTATTCTTATAGTTATTACTATGGATTAATGTATGTTAACCAACGTCCATGTTCACAAGGGGAAAACTGTGTGTGATCAGCTGAAGATCTTCTGGACGTGGCTCAGCCACCGCTTGAACCGTAAACCGAAGAGGCACAACAGCGGCTCTCATCTTAAATAGAAAGAGGGAATCTATCTCATTACATGGGATACACATTTATATCCTTCCCCATGGATCCAAGTACCTTCTTAGGAAATGTTTGGAGTATGATTGAGGGGTTAAGTACCTTCTCAGACAGTGTTTGGATCCATAGGGATATATATATACATATCTATATATAGAGAGGAAACACAATTGACAATGTATCTCTTTATTTTTATATCAAACTTGAACCTAAAGTAGATACACCGGGTCCTTTTACCGCGGAAGTCAGGATGGAAAAACCTGTCGGTTTACATGGAAGTCGTTTACGTCCAATTCCTGGGGAAAAAGTGAAACTGGGCTACCGGGCCAGCAAATGCAGAAAAACTGACCGTGAATCTCTTACATGGAAGTAGCTCATCAGATATGTCAGTAACATATTCATCATGGAAGTGTGAAAACTGAGACTAAAAACCCTTACGTGGAAGTAACTTGAGGGTCCAGACATCAGGTTGGCAACTTCTATGTTAACATGTTCTCCCCTCATGTTGAATACATCCTTCTAGGGCGATCCCTAAAACCCCCAGACTGACCGCCACATCATTTTTTTTCTTCTTTGCATCTATCTTCTCACCCATGTCATGTCCGAGCGATTGAGGATGCAACCTTTCGAAATCAATGGTGCCAAATTGGTGCTCGCTAACATGGCACTGCCCACATCCTACTTCAAGTAGCAAATTTCTATGTAAGTTATCCGTTCCAATCGTTGGTTGTTAAAAAATGGAGGCATTCCCAGCTTTATCTTGAAAAAATCAAAATTTCTACTTTAATCAACAAATGCCCAGGATTCCCGGGGAACTCGTGGCAAAAAGAACTAGCCAAAAAAAAAAGCTCAGATCCAAAGAACACAAATTTGCAGTTTACCCCCCCCATTGCAACTAACATGGAAGTAAACCTCCGAATCGTCACTTTAGTTAACGTGGAAAACTATTTTTTTTGCACTACGGTAAAAGGAGGACCGAGCGCTCGCTAACATGGCACTGCCCACATCCTACTGCAAATAGCAAATTTCTATGTAAGTTATCCGTTCCAATCGTTGGTTGTTAAAAAATGGAGGCATTCCCAGCTTTATCTTGAAAAATTCAAAATTTCTACGTTAATCAACAAATGCCCAGGATTCCCGGGGAACTCGTGGCAAAAAGAACTAGCCCAAAAAAAAAAGGGCTCAGATCACTACGGTAAAAGGAGGACCGAGTGCTCGCTAACATGGCACTGCCCACGTCCTACTTCAAGTAGCAAATTTCTATGTAAGTTATCCGTTCCAATCGTTGGTTGTTAAAAAATGGAGGCATGCCCAGCTTTATCTTGAAAAAATCAAAATTTCTACCTTAATCAACAAATGCCCAGGATTCCCGGGGAACTCGTGGCAAAAAGAAAGCCAAAAAAAAAGGCTCAGATCCAAAGAACACAAATTTGCAGTTTACCCCCCCCATTGCAACTAACATGGAAATAAACCTCCGAATCGTCACTTTAGTTAACGTGGAAAACTATTTTTTTGCACTACGGTAAAAGGAGGACCGAGCGCTCGCTAACATGGCACTGCCCACATCCTACTTCAAATAGCAAATTTCTATGTAAGTTATCCGTTCCAATCGTTGGTTGTTAAAAAATGGAGGCATTCCCAGCTTTATCTTGAAAAAATCAAAATTTCTACTTTAATCAACAAATGCCCAGGATTCCCGGGGAACTCGTGGCAAAAAGAACTAGCCAAAAAAAAAAAGGGCTCAGATCCAAAGAACACAAATTTGCAGTTTACCCCCCCCATTGCAACTAACATGGAAGTAAACCTCCGAATTGTCACTTTAGTTAACGTGGAAGATTTTTTTTTGCACTACGGTAAAAGGAGGACCGAGCGCTCGCTAACATGGCACTGCCCACATCCTACTTCAAGTAGCAAATTTCTATGTAAGTTATCCGTTCCAATCGTTGGTTGTTAAAAAATGGAGGCATTCCCAGCTTTATCTTGAAAAATTCAAAATTTCTACGTTAATCAACAAATGCCCAGGATTCCCGGGGAACTCGTGGCAAAAAGAACTAGCCAAAAAAAAAGGGCTCAGATCCAAAGAACACAAATTTGCAGTTTACCCCCCCCCATTGCAACTAACATGGAAGTAAACCTCCGAATTGTCACTTTAGTTAACGTGGAAGAAAAAAAAAATCATTTTTTTTTGCGCTACGGTAAAAGGAGGGGGAGTACTGAAGAACATATTGACGACGTCATATAATAAATAATTGCCGCGTCAATTCAAGGAGGTAGAGAAAGTTCCTAGTTACAAGTGACTCAGTTGCAACCTGTTCAAATCGTCGTACCTATGGGAATTTATGTATAGTTATACGGTATACGGAAAAACAAAACATATCATATGATATCATATATATCATATGTATATTCTGGATATTCTATATCAATACAGTTCAATCATGTGCAATCCACATCGTACACGTAAATCTAGTCTCTATTTATATAATTATTGGCATTGGTTATTGGTACTCGGCAGGGTCTCTGCACCCTGGGAACACGGACATGGATACCATTGCAGCAATGGCATCATCCAGACCACAACAATCATCAACCGGAGGCTCCTTCACTTGAGCTACCTGGGTTTTCCCACTTTCAAGAAACATTATCCCGCGGTAATCAAAAGTTGCACTGGAAAAAAACTATAAATGGAGGCTTTAATGGAAAATTAACATATACTGTAACTTTCCCATTGCCATCTTTGATTTCCGGAGGGTAATAAAACATTGAAAGTACAAAACGAAACCTAATGAATACTGACTAGCGAGCCCAATTTCATTCATATGTCATCATGTAGGTTCTTGGAACAGTGACATAACATGCATGTGTGTTTACATGTTTTCAGCCCATTGTATCCTGTTTCAACTCACCATTCTTTTGGGGGTTGTTGAACCCATCGCGACATACTTCAAGACGTTTGGATCATCGGGTGATAACGAAGAGAACGATACATTCAAGCCATAATCAGATACATTTGAGCATATCAAGGAAAAGTAAAAACACAAAACACCTTGAATACCTAGTTCTTCAAAGTGACCGATTTTAGTCACCAATTGGAGGTCATTTGATCCCAAAAAGGTCATTTAACCACCTCATAAGGATCAGTTATAGATGATTTTCCCAGCTACAACCTTCATTTATAGATCATTTTCCAGCCAGCCACGTTTGATTACCGGCGGGATTTCACCAATATTTCAGTAAAATCCCACTAATATTCCATTGAAATTATATATATATATACATACATGTATCTAAATATAAATATACATATACATATATATATATATATATGTAAATACATAATGATACATATCATATACTCATATACGACTAATATTCCATAATATTCCTATATATATATAAACCCTATGGATCCAAGTGCCTTCTCAGGAAGTACTTGGGGTATGATTTAGGGGGTCAGCCGTACCTTCTCAGACAGTGTTTGGATCCATAGGGATATCTACACATATATATATATAGGTACTTATGTATATAGAGAGGAAAACACAATCTATATATCTCTATATTCTTAGATCAAACTTGGTCCACAGGGATATATCTATATATATATATAAACATAAAAAAGGTCATGCAAAAGAAGCGAACATCGAAACTTCCAGCGCCCATCCCCTGGGTCCCCTGGGCTCCCATCCCGGCTCCCATCCCGGGCCTCCACGACAATGTCGCAGTCAGCCAGTGCTTCGTAGGATGTGCTGCCACTGAGTTTCGACAGGAGTTCATCCACTTGCACCTGGCGGAAAGGGGGTGGCAGGTATTGGCAGGTGACCCCGGTGACCCCAGTGATATTCTGTGATGAGAATTGGAAAGATATAGGAAAGATATAGGAAAATCCATTACAAATGACCTATGAAATATGGAAAGAAAATCCATTATAAATATGGGATTCCCTATGGATCCAGCCGTGCCTTAGGAAGTGTGACTGGGGTATGATGACTAGGGGGAACTGGAAACGTATACACTTTGCGAGCTGGAAAATCACCATCTCTAATAGGTAAATCAAAGAACTAAATAGGCCCTGTTCAATGGCTTTGTTAAATTACCAGACGGTATGTTTTGTGGTTAATAATGTTAATAGATGTTTATAGCAACAGAAAAGTTGGATAAGTTGGAAAGTGACCAAGTTATGCAACATAGATAGAAAAGCAAGCCCGAAATAGAAAGTGATTTGGTTGTCTGTATTATAACAACCCCAGAAAAGATGCAGACAAATCAGACACGTTGAAATCCTGGAAACGCATCTTTTTGGAGGTCGCTATAAGCCACTTATGGTCAAATCCCATGATATCATTTGATATCAGAATCTCAATTCATATCCCACAATTACACGGTTAAATCATGTTAGATCTCATGCTACTAGTATCTATTGATAATATCCCATATATATATTTGCATATATATATGTGTGTGTATGCATATATATATATGTGCATATATATATATATATATGTGCATGCATATATATAATTGTGTATATAAATATTTGCATATATATATATATATGTGTGTATGCATATATATATGTGCATATATATATATATACATATCCCATTCCCCTTCACATTTGTTGCACCGTCTATTCTATGCATTATGCGTTCCCATCTGCTATGAAACCCTGGTTTCTGGACGTGGTGGGTAAGATTAAGGGAATGGGATTAGATATGGTTAGATCAATCAGGAATCAGCATCAATCAGCCGGGGCCATCACAACCGCACTTCCGCCTGGGATTTGGACTTTCTGTCCACACTCCTGGCGTAGTTCTTCTTAATGACCTCAGCAGCAGGGACGAATCTTCCAGCTTAACTGTGGCCCCTTGCGATTGTTGACTCATTTTGCACCCAAGTAGAGAGTATATATATATACATTAACAATCATTAGCATCTACATGCATCTACCATAAACATCCATAGTAAACCAACTTGGCTTCAACAACAGAAATCTATTGCCTGGGGCTCCACATCGTACTGTACCTATTGCGGATCGCAGCATATGTTTCGCTAAACAACACGTACCGCAAAAATATGTGCTAGTGGGAGGACTTGTTCAGCTATTGGTATTGGAGTGTTCGTTTACAATACGAGCGTGCATCACCGTATACAAACACGCATGTGACTTACACACATACTACTACTCTCTGTTCCCGTGCGCTATCCACTGTTCCTTGCAATTTCATTGCGTTTGTACGTTTTCCTCAGGCTGGTTGCATGCCCAGCAAGAACGTATAGGTTGCAGTCACCCTGGGCCGGATCTTCCGTCAAGACGCTTCAGCATGCTCGAGCTCCGAAGTATCTGAAATGCGGATCCCGCCAATGGCAACTGGTGTGTTTTGGCAGCTCTGTGCAGTTTTACGTCAACAAAGCCTTGTTCCGTCAGCACCCAGCACCTGTTCGAATATGGACACCCCGGGGCGTTTTTCTATCACTGCTTCGCACTTCAGCAACTATCGTGCTGTGTTGAGGAAACCTCCTCCGATGAATACCAAACATCCTTAAGGCCCGTTGAAAAAAAGTCTACTTTCAAAAGCCGCACAAAGCCCAAAATATTGCCCCTGCCAGTCATAAGCCCATCTATAAAAGTATAGTATAGTGATATCTACCATAATTCTACCATAAATAGATAGCTGATTTAACCATAGTTTAACCACCTTACCCGTCTTTAGTTGATGATAGGTTTTTTCGGATTGAACGACCGGTGAGTTGATTGAGCCGTTCCGTGGCACCAAAGGAATTCCCTCCAGACGTCAAGGGACGTTGATGCCACGCTCCAAGTTCTTTTCGTCCCGATCCAACAGAACGACCTGTAGACGGAGCTGACTTTTTTCCGTTCAATGAGCGAAGATTTGGAAGTACTGAGTTTGCTTGAATATAGGACATAGATGGACATAGGATATACCCTGTTCCTTTTTGGAGATGTTTCTGTGGCTAAACTGGTCCTTGGTAAATCTAGTCCATATTCAAATCAACTCGGGTATACCCCAAAAAAAAATAAACATGTCATGGGAAATGTGATGATTAACATCTGGATTTGAGAAACCCCATCTTCCAACAAACCTGGTGGCTGGGAGTGTGATTTGATGATGTGGAGTGGTACCTCACATTGATGTACGGAGGTTGATAAGTGGTAAAAATGAGCATGGAATTACACAACTAGTATCAAACAATAACAACTATGCAAACTGCAAATGGGGCAAACGTTTTGAGGTACCTCAGAGAAAGATCGCATAGGGTGAGAGCCCACACAAATTGTTCCACTATGAGTTTTAAAGCCGTATGGCATGTCCAAACTAAGGGAGCTTTGATAAGAACAGGAATCGTGACACTGCAGAATACCCTGCAGAATGGTGTCGTCTCCGACAATGCATGTAGATAAATCAGATATCACCTGCAATCGAATGTGAGGAGTAAATATTGCATCTTCAGTAAACTCTGAGGTGCTTTCTTATTGAATACCAGTTGATAATAGCCGACTGATGATGACCTTCTTGGCGACGACATGCATTCATCAGCAGAACAAAAGCAAACAGCCTGCAGGTGAGAAGAAAAACAAACTTAAGTTCCATTCTTTCGCGGGCCCTGTAATCATCCTGAAAGTTGGTAGATGGTTAGTAATCGGCTAATAATCCATCATATTCATTCATATCCCAGTTGCAAGGGGGTTATACCACCTAGCCTCCCCAGCTACTAGTCATTCTGCTGGCTCTTTGACAAAATCTGACCGATAAAACCAGTTTGAGGGAGCGTCCCATCAGCATGGTCAATTTTGGATACTTTGCAAACAACTTATAAAAACTAGCCGATCAGTGAGTATATTTCCCCATTTATTTGAAAAAAAACGAGTCTTAAATGCTATAAAGAATGCATAACAATGCTATCAGTTGGGAACCTCTTCAACCAATACGTTAAATATTATTATAGCTGAATAAACTCATACATGCCCAATACATGCCCACTCATAATTGAGCTGATATAAAACTACCTTTCACCCGTCGGTGGAACCCTCCATGCCTTCATGCCAGCTTCAGCGCAAGCCATCGCGATGCCTCCGCCCATCAGCCCAGCACCCACAATGCCGCAGCACTTCAGCTGATGCGGACGAACGGCACCAGCAACTCCTTGAAACACAAGATTTGGGGGACCATCGTGGTGAGGTCTTGATGAAATTCCACGAAAACGACCCAGACCCAGACCTGGTGGTGTCAACCGATTGGAAAACTTCATGAATTTGGGGTCCTAATCCCAGGTAGGATGGAAACTCATTGATCTTAGAATCCAACCACCCACCAGGGGTGGTACATTGCTTCATGGATCGGAGGACATTTCTCTCAACTGTCAACGAGTTCCGCGGAATCATTTGCCATGAAGCCAACTGATAGGGATCCAAATTGTGGAAAACATCTAGGATGATACATATATATATATATTATATTGTAGATTGCATATGCCACATAATTTCCAGAATTTCAACCTATCGGATCTATTGGAAGGGGGCTGCTTTAGTTCACTATTCCCAGACACTTCTCCACATGTTTGGAATAATGTAACTTTTCAGAGCTCCGCGGAAAAGTATACATCAAGAACATGTTCATTGCCTGATTCACGAATTGTTTACATGGGCAGTGTTCAAAATCACTCTTATCATTCCATTATACTGGCTGGTTTATAGGGATTCCCCGTTCTTGGATTATTGTAATCCCCAATATATGAAGGGTAGTACAATCCCCGAACTAATCATCAACCAGCAAGGGTTTAGGAGCCACTGCTCACATGTTGTTTCAACAACCCAAAGATGCAGATCCCCAAACCTACAAATCCTTTTGAACCCCCACATGCTGCCGATGGTTTCTCGAAACTCCTGGAATCTTTTGACACTGCCGCTCCGCAAAAAACATATACCTCGGCAGGATCAGGGCCCCTGGGGCCCCTGGGCCCCTGAGTCCCTGCCACAGTAAGCCACGGTTGGAGGGTGTTTATCCTTTGTTACCCTTAAAAACGATATTCACAAGTCCAATTTACCACTATTTCGGCACGATGTTTGCTAACATCTATATTTCTGCAGGGTGTAATATGTACAAGGTGGTGCTCCCCACTTAGGGTGTATATGTAATATATTCCAGTGACATGGCAGGGTGTCGTGATCAAATTCACCCAAATGTATACATCCCTAAATTCCCATGAATACCCTCTGGTAAACGTTTAATTACATAACTATGGAAAATCACCATGTTCAATGGGAAACTCACTATAAATGGCCATGTTCAATAGTTTTTGTATGTTCACCAGAGGGTATATCTTTCATATTCTGGTCAATTCCAGTCATATTCCCATTATATCCTCAGTCTATCTGTTTTTTTACATTATATCTCACTATATCCCCATTAAAAAAAAACATTATTATAAATCACAATGTTACAGGATATCTCATTATAATGAAAATATGCAGTAGACATGTGCATGTGAATGTTCTGTTTTCATTATATTATATATATATCAGAAAGTTTATATATCTCCATTAGATCAGAGTATATCCGCGCTATAAACCACTGGCAACCGAGGCGCTGCAAAGCTTGTGCCTGGGATCCAGTCATCAATTTACCTCGAGCGGAAAAAAAGTACCGTGCCGTGATGAATTGCCATGAGGAAAAAAGGACTTCACTAGATAATTTTGTGATTTGTAAATATTTACACACTATATATATATAATATCTATCTATCTATTTACACACACACATATATATAATTCAATATACAAACATATTATAAACATATCAAAACAACTGAAATTGGACTCATTGAGGGAAGCCACTTAAGCAATTAAGCAGTTGTTTCGTGGTATGAAACTCGCACTTCAACAACCATTGCGATATTGGGATAACTGTTTTTGATGGTACTGTACCATACTATATATACAATATATATATACACTGTATATATATATACCATATATATAATATATATATATATATAAATTTGTTTACATATATAGGATCATTTGTCCATTGGGATAACTGTTCAGGAAGGTTTTCAACTGCCGATGAAATCTGTTTGATTAACTACAATCAATGCCCATTTCAGGAACCTAAATTGGAGGTACCTACCATATATAAGGCCTATATAAGGTGTATGTAAGGGAATATCCCCACAAAATATGGTCTTATATGGTACAGTACCTCCATTTTAGGATCCTGAAATTCCCGTTGATACAACCTTTCCACCACATATAGAGCACAATAGTCATCCTCACAAGTATTGACCATGAATCATGTTGACAATCACCAAAGGCCAAATCCGAACTCATAAAACTTCAACATGGCAATAAGTGAACTAGAATATGGCATTGTTTCTAACACACATGCTATATAATTGTAGTGTACCAAGTGTTTATAATTTGATTATGAATAATTTGTTTATAACTCTAGTCTGCAGTGTACCATGTTTGATTTTATAATATGGCTTAGATAATATAGGGTATCATAGATGTTAAAACCGTTCAAAACTGTTTGGCACTGAGGTTGGTTCAGGGACCACTCCTGGGGACTGAGGGATTCTAAAATGTATATACAATGAAGCCCCCCAGTGATGTGAACGTTGATTTATAAGCCCCAGTAACTATAGTTATAAGTACCATAAACCATAGTTATTGGAGTTATAAACCAACTTTGCTATCTTGGGGGCCTCACATTGTACTTATATATATTCTATGGTTTATGGTGGATCAATATGGCTGAATTCTATGGTTTATGGTGGATATAACATGATATATAACATGATATAACTATACTTATCTGGTTGGTGGTGCAATAACCATCCTGAAAATATGACTTCGTCAATGGGTTTCGGATGACATCCCACATATGAAATGGAAAATAATCCATTCATGTTCCAAAGCACCAACCAGTTATATAACCGTAGCCTCTTTAAGGAATCCATGGAAAAAATCCTTTGGGAACCCCTGATCTGTGAACCATGAGTTGTTACGTCGTTGCGTGGAGGATGTGCCCTACGGACCTCCCCAACAGAACAGAGATGGTGCCCTTAGGAAGTGTGACGTACGGGGTATGATGACTAGCTCCTCGGGGAACCGAAACGTAGCTTCTCAGACAGTGGCCAAGGATACATAGGGTGTATTATAGTGTACCATGTGTTTATAATATGGGATGCTTCGGAGTCTACCCGAAGCCGCCGCTTCGGAGCACCACACGCTAGGAGCCAAGGCACAGAACTCTTGGAACTCCACCTTCATGCCATCCTGACGATTCCCCAGCCGAACATGGCCGAGTTGTGGCCGAACGCTATAAACACATAGCAAAACACACAACAAAGGGATTGAAGGAAAACACATTGGCAATATATGGTCATATCATAATAATAATGACATATATATATATATATATCTGTAGGAATCGATAATGACATGTTTATATTATTTATATCTGTATGACTAGGACCCAGCATCACGTTTACATGATGAAGAGAAAACAAGAAGTTTACTGTCAAACGTTGGGTATTTCTGAACCCCGGTAGCAACTCTGGGAACCTACGGGTATGCATGAAAACGAGGATGGAGCAACCCAAAGATTGCTAAAGATCAATCAAATGTCATGTTTCAGATCTCGGCAAAACAGTTCAGTGCTATCCATTTGGGGAGATCCCTCTACCCCTACCCTCAAAATAGAGGGGGGAGTGCACAAATTTCCGTTTGATGTTTTAATCTTCACAGCATTGCATATTACCATTATTACCCACCACTAGGGGACGGACAACCGGATAACCCACATTGCATGGCAAATATCGCAACTGTTGGGGAAGGCATACAAACTATATATCTAGGTGGTTGGTCTCTAGTTGCACAGAAATTGAAAACACCCGGAGCCTGGCTGAAACGTTTGATCAAGTGCCTTGCAAAATGAATGGGGTACACTTTACCAACGTCATCATCAATCATTTGATATTAGTACTCCATGGTGAGGCTTACATATCAACGGCATAAGATGGGCTGAGAGCCAAAATCACTGTGCCTATCTTCCGTTGCTTCGCGCCTATCTTCCGTGAACTTCTCTCCCCACTGTTCTCCGAACCGTTTCCATCACCTACCACTGTCTCCTTAAAGTCTTTGCTCACGGCGGCTTCAATGCCTGCGCAACTTTCAATCATGAGAACAAGCACTGCTGGCGCCCCCTGCCCCAGACTAGAAACAGATCAAAACAAATGACACAGGTTACCTTTGTCAAAATTCTGGGAACAACATTGGAAGATCAATGATTTGCTACAGTAATTCAGAAACAACCAGGAGCAAACCCAAACATTCCAATCATATAAACTCTGATCTCCGTTTTCTTTGGATCAAACACTTCTGTAATCACATAACTTAAGGATACCCTCTTGCAATCTGACGTGGCAGTGAGAAAAACATCGATGTTCATGGTCCATTGTCAGACTTTCCAACCAATAAAATTTTGCTCATGTTTGTCCTGATCTCCAACATACAAAACCAATCTGTACGGAACCTTGCCAGCAAGGTCACGACATAATTTGCCCAAGTCAAAGTGCAGGCAAGATGCAAGTGATGATCGCTTGTGGTGCAGCTTCTCCTGCTCGTAGTTTGTTGTACTCCTGCTCGTAGTTCAGCTGAGGATGATCCAAAGGAAGGTAGGATTACCGGTTGTAGTAGCTGTCTGATTTCACCCCCAAAAAGTTGTGAATTTTACACAGGAAGATAGAGGAAGTTACCTGCTTATTTCACGAGAATTTATGGACTTTGCAAATCTTTACAAGGATTTTTAGTGAACAGCTTCCATTCCAAGTGTGGTGGAACATCCCATCATATCCCATACTGTCCCCTCACTCAACATTGTACCCCTTAGGGGGAGATGATCTCCGGCAGTCAAAACCGACACGGTGTCTGAAATGCGACACGGTGGATTTCTGGGGTACCCAGCCATTGCCAGCTGAATGATGGAAATTCATGAAGTCCTGTGATTTTCGTGTCTTCTTAAGAATTGCATATGCTAAGTGTTACAAGTGGATACAGTGTTATAATATAAGTGGATATAAGTGGATATTAGTGGATATAAGTGGATATTGATTTTGATATAAGTCTGATGAATGGCATATGCTGAGTGTTTCTTTAAATGTTACAAGTGGATACAGTACCCCATCCGAAACCCATGGATCAGATAGGTTCCGAGAATTTGCCACAAGGAGAATGTACTTAAGATAATCAAGCATCCGTGTTTTTCATGAGGCTGTTGACCATCGCCCTTGCTGCTACTTGCAGCCTCCACTGCCTGTTGACATTGGCCACTATCTCGGTGCCACTCGTCTTCCCACAGTCTCTCTGAGATTGTAGTAGTCGACTCATCTTTGCTATTTTTTTTCAACTCTCCTTCCATTTACAATGGCAATGGCAGCTTGCCTTTTTTCCTGACTTTCTGTATGCCTCCTTCAGCCATTAGTCTATCCAGGCAGATTTGCTGCTCAGGGTTCAATGTCGTTGAAACATTCATGGAATCGATGGCTGCGAGCATAGCGCGTCGCAATTTGAGTACGCAAAGCATGATTGTTTTGTAAATACATTATTTTGCTGTATATCATCAATATTTGACTAGGAAGTTGTGAAATGTTTTCATAAAGGACTTATATAAACAAAAATAATTTGAACAAATCAAAGCCCGCTAGCCTCAACCTAATTTGCATTTGGTTCACGTGGCTGCAAACATGAAGAAATATTAGCACTGGCTGGCCAACAATGCTGGCCTACCAAGAAAAACAACCTTGTTCCAAGGTGAATCCAGTAGTAGTAGTAGTAGTAGTAGTAGTAGTAGTAGTAGACATCCGTACTTAGATTTAAGATATGCAATCCGAAGCATCCGGCTAGAATTGCACCTATGGTATACCTTACCCTCCAGTAAATTAACATAGACCCTGGCAGATAGGGGTTGGAAGATTAGTTTCCACTAAAAATGGGCGATTTTCAGGGTCTATATGTTAATTTACCAGAGGGTAATGTATCAAAGACCTAGCACGTACAATTTCAGAATCCCGATACCAACGCATGCCCTATGGATACAAATACTTGTTGAGAAGGTACTCAGCTGAAGTATCCCCCAGTTACACTCCAGGTTCTATCCTGCTGGATATTACTGTACAGTATAGTGGTTTACATCTCCTTGAGACATAGTACGGTAGTACGGTAGTCATTGGGGATCAACATCCCATTTTGGATGATGATGAAAGGCCCATGTTTCTTTCGCCCAGTCCAGCCCTTGGAGCGTCACCAAAAACATGTTAGGAAAGTCCCTCGTGGCTTATCCCATGCCGGGAATTTCTTGCAGCCTCCGAGGAGATATGGAGATTTGGAATCCCGAAGAGGTCATGAATTAACCATCAAAAGTGGTTGTTTTTCATGGGGATATCATGGAAATATCGAATTGTTTAAACATAGATGACTGGTTGGTGGTATATTTAACCCCTCTGAAAAATGATGGACTTCGTCAGTTGCGATGACGAAATTCCCAATATGATGGGAAAGTCATACTCCATTCATGTTCCATTATTGATTATTATATCCCATTATATCCCATAAAAAAAACACCATTATATCCCATTAAAAACCATGTTCCAGTCACCACCAACCAGATAAACATGACAATTCTACCATTTGCTACTTCCCCTGGCGATCAAAAAAACAGGCGCTGATTTTCGCATGAAAATCATGCCCAGTCTGGGGATTTCCCAAACGAAAATGCTACGTTTGTAATGAACACAATGTAACTAACCATTGGATATTGGAAATTAACTAGTTAGATGCTTTAAATCATTATATATATATATATCATATAATATATATATATATCACATAATATATATATAATATCTATTGGATATTGACTATTGGATTACATTCTATAACCACGGGATATTGGAGATCCCCGTTTCGCCACCGCTGCCTCTCCTGTCGTTTCTTGGAGATGTCGCCGCCCTGCGCCTTGCCTTGCCCCAGGCGCCGCGCGTCGAGGTCGACAGAAGTCTTGGACAGGGCGAAGTCAACGCAGGCCTCACCAGGATCCAACTTGCAGGAGATTGATGAGTAATTAATAAATATTGTAAATTATAGTCCATATAGAGTATATATATATGGTATATTATAATGTTATAATAGTATCATATATTATAGTAATGATATATATATATATATCATAGTTATCATATATTAGAGTGTATATATATATATACGTAGATTATAATAATTCACTGACCTGAATTAATTAAGGCCATGTGGGGATGATCTTCCCTTATTGAGGGTATATGTTAAATAACCAGAGGGTATCTAGATATTATGAGTATAGTTTTGCAATAAGCCATATAAGAAGAGGATACTTTTATAGTATATTATTGAGTTCTAGTTATATCATGAGTATCTAGATATATAGTATATACCCTCTGGTTAAGACTGACATAGCCATGGAGGCCATGGCCCATAGAAATAGATGGCTTAGCTACTAAAAAATGGTGATTTTCCATGGCTATGTTAAATAACCAGAGGGTATATACACATATATATAGATATATAGATATATATACATATATATATATAGATATATATATATATATGTGGTCAAATTATAATAATTCACTGACCTGAATTGTTGGGCCATTTGGGGATGATTTCCCTTATTGACCATGATTCCAGTGAGGGAGAACAGTGAGGTTGTTATAATTTACCCATATATATATAACACTGATAATATAACTAGTATAGTTTATAAGTTTATATTATATATATAGAATGTGCTTGGGGTATGATTTAGGGGGTTAGCCGTACCTTCCCAGACAGTGTTTGGATCCATAGGGTATCTATATTTTATAATGTAACTAGATTGTCGTAGTTTTGTAGATAGCGATTATAGTAATATAGTTGCCAAAGATGTATTATTTGAGCGATTTGACAGTTATACTGTTATACTATCTATAAATATTGATAGTGATTGATTATTATATACTGTTATGGGAATATATCACATTCTAATACGATAGTATTTAGTACTGTATATGAACATGTTTTTTCTTTCAATATCGCGCCTCTATGGAATATACCCATTTGACATGAAATACAAACGAATACCAGTTTAAAAAAAAAAAAACTAAAACTCACATAAATGAGATTTAGTAAATGCAACTGGAAAACAATGCAACATTAAAACATATTATGTAACTAAGATTTGTATTGTATAGCAAGATCCAATTAGGCCTGAAATCAATATGATCTAGTAAATGTAATTATGGAATGGATTTACTGGTACGTCTAATAGTGATTCAACAACTATTGTATTAAAACATTTGAAATTTGAAGTAGCATGTGCTAGTAAATAAGTAGCATGAGGACAACTGACGTCTACAGTAGTCACAAATCCAACAACACACAAAAATTGGTAGCAACAGGAAACTAACGTCAAACACAGCGGAACTACCTTTACAAGCAATAGCGATATATGTCTTGACCAAAAAGTCATAGCGATGCGATTTCCAAAGAAACTTGGACAACACCAGGGGGATTTCTGGATGGTTTCTGGATTCTTACCATCGCACATTGAGATACAACAGAGGATATATCCTTCATCTGGCATGATTTTTGGGTGAATAACCCATTGCTACGATTGTGATGAAGGATATAACCAGCAAACATGGGAGAACCCTCAGTAGGCCAATACGAGATGCTCACATCGAAGTGTTTCTGATGAAATCCAGTTTTTTTGTTGGTTAAACACCAATGTTTATCCATTATTAGGATATTAAATCCCCATTTTCGCTCATTAAATCAACTATTTTCTCAGCCAACCATCATCGCAGCGTTTTGACGCCTGAAGCACTGCTGCATGGTCACCCTCAATGACTTCATCGAAGAGGCCCACCTCGCCCACAAGCGTCATCGAAGGAATGTTTGTGGAAGCCTTGGGTATCCGTTCCTGATCGAAGTGATATCTTTAAACCATCATTAACCATGGATATAAAGATGATATGTATGATATTTAATATTCATTGTTAACATAGGTTTAACATGGTAAGTTAATAATGATTCTGAAATATTTACCAGATCCTTAAACCATCGTTAATAAAGATCCTTACCATCGTTAGATCAGAATATGATATCTTGGACCATAGTTAATAAAAATCCTTACCATCGTTAAATCAGAATATGATATCAATGATATCTTTAGTGGTAATTTAGACCACTATTGGCCACGATGAATTCTATGAAAACCGTCGATTTTAATGTTGGAAACCTTCTGATATCTTTATGTTATGTAACAATAAACCCAAGTTGGGTCATCTGTATTGAAAATAAAACTAAATAATTATTTAATTAACATATATTCCTTTTTATTTATCACATGCACCATCTGATAGATTGCAAGAATTACACCATCTAATTATGATATTTATGATATACTTTGGCTGATTGAACATAATGTATATTATATATATATATTCTGGTGAAATGATGAATGGTAGAGCCCATAAATGTCCCTAGCCCAGCTTTGGCTGATTGGACATAATGAAGGATTTTATCGGATTTTCAGAGGAGGGCGTCAATCCACCAACCAATGGACCATCCATGCTGAAACTTTCAAGTCCCAAGTGACAAAGACTGGTCACAATAGATACCCTCTGGTAAACTAACATAGCTATGGAAAATGACCATTTATAGTGGATTTACCCATTGAACATGGTGATTCTCGATAGTTATGTTAGTTTACCAGAGGGTAACCATTCATCCCTACAAGTAAAAGTAGCCGCCTAATTTGGGGTTCCCAATTTCATTGCGAAGCTGAGATACCCCTTTCGTGAGTTTTCAGCAGAATCCATCCCACCTCTTTGGCTTTCTGAGCCTTCATGGGAGCCCCGCGGCACATGAAATCCACACTCTTCTCCTTGGCTACGGATCTTTGGGTCAGGCTAGCGGCTAGGCTAGCTACATGCACCCGCTACAAGGAATCACGGCTAAATATCGCGCCGCAGGCGACCTTTTGCAAGTGGACTGGGCCTGAAAGCTCATGAGCAAGTCAATTTGAGTGAACTTTATAATTGGAGCATGTCATTCTTCAGCTAATTACATATCCTCACCTGACTGTTCCGTGAAAAAGACCCTTTTTTATTTGGCATGAAATCCAGTCATGGCTGTATCATGCCATTTCCATTTGGATAAAAAAAACATTCCCTTACTTTTGAGGCTCCCACATGATTTCTGGAGGGTATTCTCACTACTTGCATGATCTCTTGTGAGCTGCAACTCGTGCAATACGCCAATATACGACCTTGTGTAATATTGTGTCTGGTTGGTGGTTTCAACCCCTCTGAAAAATATTAGTCAGTTGGGATGATTCTTCCCAATGTATGGAAAAATAAAACATGTTCCAAACCACCAACCAGGTGTACATCCATTTGCAAGAACATAACTTGACTTACATATGATATATAATGTTATAATGAATCAAATGGTATATAAACTTATCCATTTAACATTTTACCATTCATATATTCATAGAGTTTACCATTAACACCATGTAAACTACCCTCTGGTTATTTAACATAGCCATGGAAAATGGTCCATTTATAGATGGTTTACCTGGGTTTACCTATTAAAACTGGTGATTTTCCATGGCTATGTTAAATAATCAGATGGTAAATCCAATGGTATAACTCACTCATATTCATGTCCAGGTGACAGCACCGATGAGCCGTGGGAGTCGCTGAGTGCCTCCAGCTCCAGGTAAAATTCCCAGGTTCACCTGACAGAAACCCGGCAAAATATATGGTTAATATTAATGGTTACCACCAAGCAGAATATATGGTTAATATAAAAATGGTTATTATATATGGTTAATGATGGTTTATAATAATCTGGTTGGTGGTTGAGCCCTACCCCTCTGAAAAATGAAGAATTACTTTACTTCGTGTGATCCCCACCATGACATTTATACATTTTCTTACTGGCAAATCTTCTGGCATTCTATCTGACATATCTTCTGACATTCTATTTGGCATTCTATCTGGCATATCTTCTGGCATATGATCATATCTTCTGGCATATCTTCTGGCATTCTATCTGGCAAATCTTCTGCCATTCTATCTGGCATATCTTCTGGCACTCTATCTGACATATCTTCTGGCATTCAATCTGGCATTCTATCTGGCATATCTTCTGGCATATCTTATCTTCTGGCATTCTATCTGGCATTCTATCTGGCATATCTTCTGGCATATATTCTGGCACATATCTTCTGGCATATCTTCTGGCATTCTATCTGGCATTCTATCTGGCATATCTATATCTGGCATATCTTCTGGCATATCTTCTGATATTTTCTGACATTCTTTCTGGCATTCTTCTGGCACTTCTTCTGCACATATCTTCCTACATGAGGTCCGGCAGGGAACACTTGGCATGGATACCCGCGGTTGAGGTCCGCGGTTGAGGTCCGGCAGGGAACACTTGGCATGGATACTCGCAGATGAGGTCCGGCAGGGAGGGCGTGGCTGGTCGTGGTTGAGGTCCGGCAGGGAACACTGGGCGTGGCTGGTCGTGGTTGAGGTCCGGCAGGGAACACTGGGCGTGGATGGTCGTGGTTGAGGTCCGGCAGAGAACACTGTGGATCGCGGGTCGCAGTTGGACGAGGACGACGAGGGCGACGAGGACGATGAGGACGACGAGGACGACAAGGACGACAAGGATGACAAGGAGGACGAGGAGGACGAGGAGGAGAGGAGGAGGAGGAGGACGAGGCAGGAGGAGGCAACTGACATAAAATCTAACAACCCTCACCTGGCAGGTGGGGAAAAATGATGGAGTTCGTCAGTTGGGATGAATTTGGGATGATGAAATTCCCAACTGAACGGGAAAATAAAATTCACGTTCCGAACCACCAACCAGTGTTTAAGCAGATCCAGAACAGGTTCTGAGTACGTCCAGTGATTCTATCTCGTGGGTGGCGAAGTCATTCTAACTTCCAATTTTCTCATTCTAACTCGTAAGGTTGGATTGTTGCCAACTTTTCCAAAACCGGGTTTAACCTTGAGTCCGTCGCTATAGATGAATTAACCTTTGGTTATTAATGGGTGTTAGTGGTTGTTAATGGTTCGTCTTAATGGTTATTTTATTAATGAACTAATAATGGACTAATCATGGATTCATGGATCTTACGGGGGTTTACCAACTAACTTGCGGTCATCAAACATGGCTAGCTGGGAAATCCTCGAACTAAATGGAGGTTTCTAGCTGGAAATATCATCTATGAATAGGGAATTTTCAAGTGCTATGTTTGATTATCAGAGAATAACCCGTAAAATTTACAGGGGATGGGCATAATCAATCAGTTTTCAGAGAGATTCATTTTATATATATATATATATACCCATGACACATCATTATGATACAGTTTTTCAGGATTCCCATGATATATTCTCAACACAGAGACACAATACGCTCTGCACAACAAAGAAATTACCAAAGAAGGAATCCGAAGAAAGCCTCGACTCACCAGTGGAGAACATGCCGGCTGTTAAACGGGCCAGAAATGACGACAATTTATGTACCCGGCCTGGTAAACTAACACTTCGCCATGGAAAATCACCATGCTATTAATAGGTAAACCATCTATTTCTATGGGCCATCTATACCATGGCTATGTTAAATAACCAGAGGGTAGAACATCTGTTTTCTCTGCAAGATCGTCATTGCTCGAGAACTCGTGCCACACACAGGTCATGCTATAGCGTCCTTTCGTGACTTCTCTTTATCGCTTCTGACAGCCGCCAAACAGAAAGAACAACACATGGAAACCTGCACATGGTGGAATTACCGACAAATGTGTGGACCCATCTGTTTTGGGAATCTGTATCCCATAGCATCCATGGTGCTGGTATATATGCTAACATCAATGGGGTATAATGATGGGATCCATGTTACCATATATAGCATACATGGATCCTATGGGTATATATATATATGTTATGTAAGCAAATCATCAAACAAGTGTTTTGGGAATCTGTATCAATTAATAAGCTTCCATTTTGGGGTGATCAAAACATGTTGACCAATTCTCAGTCGTCGGACTTCTGAACTTGGAGGATCCTCCCAGTCTCCAAAGGGTTACCCGAAATCGTAAACTTACCCGGCCTGGTTATGACTGTTACATAGTGATACTTAATGGTGATTAATGGTGATTAATGGTAGTTAATGGGATTCACCCTCTGGTAATTTGTTACATAGCTATTGAAAATTGCCATAGAAAGTGCATGGATTTACCCATTAATAGCATGGTGGATCTTTCCAGTTCGCTCTGTGTAAACGCTTACCAGATGGTTAGGAACTGGGGTTACCACCATAACTTGTGGTCTGCACTATGGTTAGATTCTGACCATTCACCAGTTACAAGTTTGTTTCTACACCCAACTATAGATATTGTATCTACCACAAGCGTTAGTAGTGCTGGTGATAAACCAACTGATCTATGGAATGGATTTTGATAGATAGAATTTTAGATCTAAACAACCAAGTTGGTTAAAATATGGTTTGCTAGTGATAAACCAACTGGGTTAAATGTTGTGAACCAACTGATCCAGGTCTCTAGTGTAATAGACCATAGATCCATCATTTTTTAAAGGCAACAGGGGTTGCTCCCAGCCTCTGGAAGTCCAGCCTTCTGGCAATCAGGTGGCCATGGGTCAAGTCAAGTCATTTCTATATTGGGGATAAAATAGATGATCACACACCGAAATTGTCATCGGAATGCGCAAATTAGGTCCTAAACCATCGGATTTTGTGGTACGCTACTTTTGGTGACGGAGTGAAATTCCATGAATGTTGACATTTGATTTTGTTCGTCAATTTTGGGGCAAGAAATGACATCGGGAGTTCTTCACAAATAGGATGATTCTAACAGGGACGGTGAAATGATGAACAAAATGTGAAGATAGGGATTTATCCTTTGTTGGTGAAATGATTCTAATAGTTCTAATAGGGACTTCATATTTTCAGTTCGGTAAATCTATTGGCCATCTAGAAATTATAGAACCATTTCCAACATGTCCCATCTAAAAATGGGGAGTTTACCATAGATTCTACAGTTGACCTACTTTCCTTCAACAAAAACAGGCCACTTCGCAACCAAGTCGTGGCTCCGGGCCACGTCGGGTTTTCCCAAATGGCAATCATCCCACTAGAAATCTATGGGCCATGGTGGAACCAGTTGGCAAACTCTTAGTTTACGAGACTTTGCGAACTATAACTGGGGGTATATTAATCAAGTTTTAATATAACTAAGTGGAGTATTTAATATAACTAAGTTGGCAGTTTTTGATAGGTATCCCTCTTGATACCCCAAGTTTGGCTGTGTGACAACTTTGGTCGCTGTCTTATCTGACCTTGCGCCGCTTGCGCCCAGGAACTTGTGCTCGTGTGCTGGCCAATCTCCAATGGCAACCCAGGGCCACTTCAAAGCCGCCTGGTGAACGTTTGTTCGGGCTTCAAACTGCTAGCTGAATGGGTAGTAATTCTCAAAGTGGACATAACTGGATTTAGGTTCCCATTGTGAATGCTAAAACCCTTCGTTATATCCTCATAGTTATAAGTTCCCATTGGTTCATAAATTTTCCCCCTCATATCTCCGTATGTATAATATATATATAATATAAAAATATATATAATATATATAATAGTAATTTATATAATATAATAATATATATATAATATATATTAAATTAGATTATACATATTTATATATTTGTTTCCCCTAAGTTTTATCCCAAAATAGCTTTCTGTTCTCCGCTTTTCCAGCAGGTTTTTGTCCACCTCCCAGAGCAAGGCCATCCACTGCTGCCACGATGGGCTTGGAGGAATTCTCCATGACGGAGATGACTTGAGGCAACTGGGCTGCGGCAGCGCGGGTGGATGGCGCGGCAGCGCGTTTTGCACGTTGATTCTGGATGGATTTTAAGGCAACATCTACAGGAAACTATGGCAACTTCACATGTTTTCACACGGATTTTTTTGGGGTCTGTAAGATGATATAAGATGTTCATAGATGTTCACCATCTTCAGGGATTGGTTGTTTGAAGTTGGAACATTAATAGCATTAAACTAAAAGTGCTCTTTCCTTTGGAACATGTTCTTCCTGGAACTTGAATCGAATCTCATCGATCATGAAGGAATCTCAAGTAATTTTCTAGATTTGCTCTTAATGTGGATCAATTATGCAGGAGAATCCGACAGAGTTACAGACCATTTCAGGTAAATTTGAGGCACGTGCCGCATCTGCAAAGGATTTCACAATATCGCATTGCGCTATATTATGCTACACTGCTGCTACACTATCTCTGATTTAGATTATATAGATCCCTAAAGTGCACCCAAAACATAGATTGATATCAATTCACACCTTGTAATGCATGGACATTAGGTCCAGATAGCTGTTGGGAATCTCATGTCCCACTTAGCACATAGGCGGATAGAAATCGGAAGGGTCAATTGTCCTTGGAAGGAGCTGAAAACACTGGGGGATACGGCAGCAACAAGTAGGACTAGACCAACGGAATATGAGTGGATATTCTATGGTTTATGGTGGATCAATATGGCTGAATTCTATGGTTTACGGTGGATATAACATGATATAACTATAATATCCGGTTGGTGGTTGACCTACGCCTCTGAAAAAATATGAAAGTCAAGGGGAAGGGTTATCAATGATTATCCCATCCATATATGAAATGGAAAATAAAATTCATGTTCCACCACCAACAAGATGGTGAGGCGAATAGTGGATGCAAATCAACAATTGTGGGCATGCTTCATCAAGAAAGATATGGTCTATCCAATATAGGGACCATAAAAATATCATCGACAACCATGTGGGACATGAATGGACATCACCTGTATCAGTGTGAGATGGGGGTCAAATGCCCGATAAGTGAACCAGTGAGATAGACTTCTTGCAAGCAGCATGCGAAATCTCGCCGTTCTCGCTGGTGCCCATTGCTTGTTGGATGTTGTTGGTCATAGCGCCAAACAACAGCATCATTCTGGATAAATCATGGTAAATCCTAAGAATTCACTGACCTGAATTGTTGTGTACTCTATTTTTGGATACAGTAGTTACCCGGTTACCCAATTCAACCTAAGCTATCGTTTACATAGACGTCGCGAAACTTTCGCAGCTGAAGTACACTGGGTCCATTCAAGCCGGTGGCAAACTCGCTAATGTCTGCACCTCGCGATGCAATGAACACAAAATGGGAATCCCCTGAGGACAAAATGGAAAGGTTGCAACATGCAACCAAAATGCAAGATGTTTACCTTCCATGATTTAGCAAAGAGAAACGTGGTAGAACGTCCACCTCATGGTAAGGACCTGTATCTCAATTATCTTAGCCAAACCCCCTGTACTTCGAGCCCTGTCTGGTCTCCCTAAGAAATATGTACTTCAACTGTCCATGAAACAACAATAAACTAACACACCAAAACATGAACGAATTTTCAGAACCCCTGGGAGAATGGGTCCCAGAATATCCCAATCATCCTCATTGGACATTGATGAAACCAAATTGGTGAGCCCATAGGGGCTCCAAAGACTTATCAGTTCTGGTTTTGGGCATACACTGAACATCCTGAGCTTGGCAAAGTTCACGGGCGCTGCCCGTATAAGCAGATGTCACTCGACTTTGGAAATTAATCATCAGGATTCACTTGTGGACCCCTTTTTGGAAAAAAATGTCAAGCACAAAGAAACTTACTTATAGAAATGAACATGTTTTCACACTACATCAAACAATATCAATTTAAAAAAATGAGCAAAACATCGGTCATGTTCACCCTTCTGCTCTTCAAGTCGTTCTTCACTAATAGTGTCGAATAAGTTGCCATGCTGCTGAACGGGTCTAGACTCTCTTCAGTCACATGTCTTCATTTCTTGGGAACAAGGGCAGAAAGCTGTACTTCTTTTGGCAGCTTCGTAGACTTTGGGCACGGCAGCAACAAGTAGGACTAGAGCAACGGAATATGAGTGGATATTCTATGGTTTATGGTGGATCAATATGGCTGAATTCTATGGTATATGGTGGATATAACATGATATAACTATAATATCTGGTTGGTGGTTGACCTACGCCTCTGAAAAATATGAAAGTCAGTTGGGATGATGAAATTTCCAAGATATGGAAAAATAATCCAAATGTTCCAAACCACCAATCAGAAATTGAACCTCGAATTCCGAATTCCCCTTTGTGCGCTTCGATCTGAGCTCGAGTAATTCCTTTGTCACAGCTGCCGGGACTTAAACAAATCATCTTCAGCCCAATATATTGATCCAAAAACAACTACTACAATATATATATATATATGTATATATATATATACATAAATCCATATCGCAATCCATACCTACTCCACATCCTATGGAATTCTAAACCCATCAAAAACCCAAACCAACTACCCTCTGGTTATTTAACATAGCCATGGAAAATGACCCATTTTTAAAAACAGCTATCTAGAAACCCATTCAAACCACACATCACCCGTCGGGTTCCGCCCGTAGGATTCGAGCTGTCCCTGTCCGGTGGGCCTCCGCAGAAGACGCCACTGGCCCCTGTCAAAACCGCCGCTGTGATCTCGGGATCCGCCACCAAATCCTGCTGGCGAGATCTACTGGTTATAGTTGGATGTTACTGGTGAATATATGGCTAATATATGGATAATATTATATGATTAATATAAAATATATTGTTAATATATGGTTAATAGTAAATAGCATGATATATGGTGAATATATGGTGAATATATGGTTACCCTCTGGTAATTTCTAACAAAAAGCTACTGAAAATGGTGATTTAGTTCGTGGATTGACCCATTGAAAATGGTGGATCTTTCCACAGTTATGTAACAGTTTACCAGAGGGTAATATATGGATAATATTATATGGTTAATATATGGTTAATATATGGTTGATATATGGTTAATATATGTTAATATATGGTTAATATATGGTTAATTAATATATGGTTAATATATGGTTAATATATGGTTAATATATGGTTAATATGGTTAATATATGGTTCATAGTCAATAGCATGATGTTGGTTAACTATTATCCTACTATAACCACTTGGCTGGTTAGAGAGATGTTGGTGCTTGCTAATGGTTAAGAGTTAATCTATGTTGATCTATGATTAATGATTAATAGATGTTAATAGTTGGGTATCGTTGGATGATTGCAGTTAGTGAGTTTATCATACACATCCAACTAACCAGTTAGTTGGAGGTTTTGTCAAGTGTTTCTGCTTGTGAATTTACACATATGGTACTGGTTGGTAATGGTTAGTAGATGATCATATAATCTATGGTTAACCGATGTTAATGGTTAAGAGTGGTTACCGGTGATTTACAAATGGTGAACAATAAAACTCAACATATGGTTATGAGTCAAAAGCCTGGTACCCAAACGATCCAAACGGCACCCCAATGGCCCAAGTCATAGTTGGTTACAGTAATGGATGGTTTCCCCCAGTCATATGGTGATTTCCAGGTGTCCCACTTTTCCTATGATTTGGGGTTTGTACAACTTACTTGTGCAGAATGGGGGAAATGGGATGAAACAAAAAATGATGGATCATTGCCCCATTCCCTACTCAGAAGCAACAAGTTTAAGATGTGTTTGCATCTTTTGAACTATCCGAAGCTTTCAGTGAACTGTCAGATAGGTAACAAGGGTGATTTTACCTCATGATTTTGGAGGTGGCTACCTATCAGAGGTAACTGGAAGGTTAGGGCTATCATTGAACCTGTTAAGAGAATGAATTTTATGTTCTTAGCCCATGTGATTAACATTTTATAATTAGGATAAGAATTGGATTCACTATTATTTAAGTTATATCGAACTAGTTGGATTGGGTCTTAAACAAACTTGTGAATAGGGGGGCCTCTTCCTGTACGAACCATCTGTTTTAATAATGAGGAAACATGCAGATTAAAGGTAAGGAACGCAATGGAAAATCACATCAAATCAAATCACAACATGGTGCTTGAATTAAGCAACAAACAATGGGGATATCAGTATATATAAAACAACCAACATTGTGATGTTTCAAGGTTTTGAGTAGAAAATGGAGGTTGAACAGGTGTAGCCGTAGCATAGTATGCTTCATCCGGCCTCTCAAAATGAAAACCACCCAATGGGATCGTCTATCCCATTTCCCGCGTGGGGCCAGGCACCAACACTTCTCCGGTGAATTATGTGATTCCTGATGGCTGCTTGGAGCCCTATATTCAGCAAACTCAATTTCCAGGTGAACTATGTGTATTTTGGCGTTTGAATCTCCATAACATGGGTTTGTCTGCAAATGGGAAAAACCCAAAGAATTTGAACCGGCTTTTTCACATTTAAACTGCACTTCCAGGGGTAGACCCAAGATTTGTTCAAAGAAACCCCAAAGATCACATTCTTTCCAATTAAATACACAAATGCAAGGGCAGAGCCATCATATTTCATGGTCATGTATACCCACTTTTTTCAAGCCCATATCAATGATATTTCTCAATCGTATCCCCATAGGTTTGATATTCCAAAACCCTGCAAAATGGTTGGACCCACAGTGAAAAAAATGTAATAGTGATATATTTTCATATATAGCTGACATAGAATTACTAAGGTTATTAGCCACTTAGGATTTTCTTTAGTACCCCGAAGCTTCAACCTCCACGCAGCAACGGTGCCAGTCAGCCGCCTTGACGCACTTGTCCAAACCCACGCGCACACCCTCGGACAAGGCATTCACGGGCCTGGGAGTGGAGGAAAATGCATTTCATGTTGCATACATTACCCATGACGGATCCATGGTGCTGCTATATTAATGGTAACATGGATCCCATCAATGTACCCCATTTATGTTAGCATATATATATACCATACATGGATCCTATGGGTTATATAAATATAAGAAGACTTGGGATATAGTTGCTGTGATGTAATCAGATATTCACTATGCAAGATCCCGCGAAGCTAGTACCGAGTGGAAATAGTCGATTTGGACCCATGTAATTGAGAAAAAAATGTCAAACAATTTGGATGTCATTGGGTTAAAACCGCACTTTTATACACGCACTTGGATATGATCTATCTATCTATCTATGTATCTATCTATCTATCTATCTATCTATGTATCTATCTATCTATCTATCCATCTATACATCTATCTATCTATCTATCTACCTATCTATCCATCTATACATCTATACATCTATTTATCTACCTATCTATCCATCTATACATCTATACATCTATTTATCTATCTATCTATCCATCTAGCTGCGACCGCTGCGAAGATTACAATACACTGTATGAAATTTGGTGGGTGTCCCAAAATGATCAACCATTGTTAATCTAATTATATCCCATTGTGGTTGGTTTAAGCTACATTTTTAGTTGCTTGAATCCCAGATGATCCTCGACATCAAACAAAACCATACATTTGGAGCTGGAGCCCTGGATCTACGGCACTGCTATCCGAGCCGCTTGTTGTCCATGGTGAGAATCGCCACGTGGCCATCTTTGGTTTGCCGTTTCTCATAGAGCACCTGGCCCTTCATCGAACCTGTGCTGCGCGCATTGCATGGGGTAGCGGAAGTTGTAGGGAAAATGGGAGGTCATCATACTAACAGAGGTTTTTAGGTCGCTATAACCTGCAACAGCAAGTTATATTACCGTTCGAGTAAGTGGATTTATAATGATGTAGAATGGTGTATTATATAAAGAGTTATGCATATCATATTTCTGTATTTGATGTATGTTCTGGATGACAGGGTATCAACCTGAAACAAAGACAAGTGTCGAAACAGGTTGAAACTGGGATGGCGAATCCACCATGAAACCACTCCCCCAAGAAATCTGGCATCGCTGAAAAGGACCTCCTGCTGTTGCTCTGGTTTCATCCCTTTCAACGTCTGAGACTCAAATGGCAAACCCAACCTATTATATAATATATATGATTATTCTATGTGAACATATGTCTTGGAATCATTTTAATCAAGTTTCGATTCTATGTTTTCTCCAGTACTATCGGAACGTCGCGGAGGAAACCCAGCGACCAGTCATAGACCCCAAAAGCCATGCCTGCGATTTCCTGTTCAATGTCATGCGCATAAGCTTGTGAAAACCGCGTGTTAACATCTGTGCTCATGCGGTTCTGCAAAAGTTAACTTGTAGATTGTAGATATCGAAAGCAAACTAAGGCCACAAGGCGCTGAATTCAACTCGTACAGACCTGTACAACATACAAACATCCCTGACATCTCTTAGAATTTTGGAGAACAGAGATTGTGAAATAGGACAGATCTAACTAGGGGAATCTTTCAAAAAAAATCTTGAGAGATCTAGCATTCGAGTTTCAAATAAAACTCAGAATGCCTATCTCTACTGTGGGTCCAACGATTTCCGACAAAAACCAACATTCCGTTTCTGCATCAGACTGCGACACTAGTAATTCATAGTAATTCAACTTGTCATTCCAACTTGTAGTCTCCTTCAAGTTCCTATCCCTTGGGTGAGCTGATCATTGAAGTCTCAACTCAGAGAACGAAACAACTATATACACACAATTTCAGAAGAACAGCCTGAACTTTTGGCAAATGTGTTCATGGTCAACAAAACCAACATGCTTCAGAATCTCCCCATCTTCACATTGCAGGGCAAAATCGCGTATCCAATTCCCCCTTCTTTTGTGTGGGTGCCGGGGGACCTGTGAAATCGCCCGGCTTCGGAAGCTTGGAATAATGTTTGTTGTTCTTCGTGTTGTTGTGGTGCGGTGGTGGCTTCATACAGAATTTTAGGGTTGAATCAACTCACCCCAAGTCCAGATAGAAACCAGAGAGAGCATTGGCGTGTTTGTATAAATATTTGATCATATTTGACTCTGGTGACAACTGTTGGATCCTTTTCAGCTTTCAAGTCGCTTTAATTTTGATCTCCTCATGTGGTTTTTCTGAGCACAAAAGCAGCTCGGTCGGACGAGCACAGTCTAAATGTGAGATCAAGTAAGTCGGTATATGGATGATACCAACAATGTAACAAACACTGTAAAGAATAATATGGATACCAAGTATACCAAGGTATACTGGTTGGTGGTTTCAACCCCTCTGAAAAATATGAGTTCGTCAGGTGGGATGATGAAATTCCCACTGTATGGAAAAATGAAATTCATGTTCCAAACCACCAACCAGTATATATTTTATCAAATATCAGTCATTCAGCTTCAACCAACAACAAATAGTGGTGTACTCGGGATATGATGATTCTTCTTGGCTTGACCGTTTTAAAGTGGGAAATCGATAGATTGGTATCCCAACAGCCGAAAACAGCACGGAGAAATGTTGGGAACCAAATCATCTTACTGGTGCTTAGTAGGGAATGGATGGGAATGGGGGAATGAGATGATTATTGATAGTTATTGTGGATCATTCCCTCATTCCCTACTAAGAACAAGTAAGTCATAAACCTATAATTTGGGATTTATATTTATACCACTCATAAACATGGTGATCCACACTAGTCGTATCTGGGTTAAACTGTTTGAATTGACAATGATCCTTCGGATATGTATAAATCCCGTTCTAACGAAAAACACCCCCATTCTATGGTCCCGAAGAAGTGTAAACCCCCGTCTAAAGCATGGTTGCATCTGGATTGGTCACCGGCATACCAAAAGATGGCGATTTATCGGGTGATTTAATGGATTTTGGGAGACCCAAAATAAGGACCTAATAATGGTTTAGACACTATCATTCATGGTGAAAAATTGATACCATCCATTGGTAATTTTTAAACCATTGATAATTTTTCAACACTATCACTGGTTTAAAATTTGATTGTGATTTAATGGTGAACATGACCATAAATCACTGGATTTTGGGAGACCCTATGTTCAGACAAACTCATCCGGGCTATGCCATCTATGCGCAACATCACCAGCTCAATGGGGCTCTCTAGATCCAAAACAACATTTTGACTGACGCTTCCAATGAAGAAAAATGCACTACCTACGGCTCTAGATTTCCCCTCTAGATCGGTCAGATAGGTGGTTGAGCCACTTGTAGAAGAATAACGTTTGGCTAACCCGACCATGCCACTGGATATTGAAGAAGCATGAAACAGATTTGTTGGTAAACGCTGTGATAAATATGTGTGTCTATAATTATAAGATTCAAGATTGTAAAATGTTAAACAGCCATGCCTATAGTTTGATATATATATATGTATATGGTAGGTATATATTGGTTGGTGGTATACCTACTCCTCTGAAAAATATGAAAGTCAGTTAGGATGATGAAATTCCCAATATATGGAAAGTCATAAAAACCCATGGTACAAAATCACCAACCAAATATATATATATATATTTATATCCCTATGGATCCAGACACTGTCTCAGAAGGTACTTCACCCCCTATATCATACCCAGTCACACTTCCTAAGAAGGTACTTGGATCCATGGGCTACATATATATATATATTATACACACAGACACTAGAATTAATGGATATATTATGGGATTTAACTGATTTAACCAACACAAATTGGGATTTTGGTTGATTATGGTTGATTATATATATATATATACTTATTGTTATTAACCATTAATTGTAAAGTTATTAACGTATTTAACCAACATAAGTTATTAATACATTAATTAATATTAACTTATGTTCGACTGTTGCTGGTGACTGGTGGATACACGGGATACCCATCTGAAAAAAATACCTGGTGTCCGACCTAGACGACCTCTCTAAAATTGACACCACACGACTGAGTCCACGTTGAACGTCTACAGTAATTATAGCAGTAACAATATATATATATAACCCATAGGATCCATGTATGGTATATATGCTAACATAAATGGGGTATATTGATGGTAAAATATGGTAAATGTTACCATATATAGCATACATGGATCCTATGGGTATATATATATATATATATGTTATGTAAGCAAATCATCAGACAAGTGGGGAGTCAGATGATTAACATGAATATTAAACACACACATATATATATATATATCTGCCTGTTTTAAGTGGCCTCTTTTTGGTGGTTGGAGCCAACACCTACTGTTGACCGCAGCGCGGAAGGAGCTGGAAGCACCTTGCATCCAGCCACAAGCACCTGTGGTGTTGCTGGCTTGACACACTACGGATACTCTTGGGTAATCAAACATGGCTAGCTGAAAAATCCCAGAAATGAAGAAAACAAAACAATGGAAGTAGATGGATGATGTTCCAGCACGGCATGGTTACCGGAAAGAAGGCGGGCACAAGAACAAATCTAAGAAATCTGGCTTTCCATTGTTCAATCTGCAACCGTGATTTGTTCATATTATTTCTGTTGATATTGCAACTAGGGCCTAAGGTACTTGGCATGTACACACATATTCGAACTTGGGTGAAAGCTGCCGTCGAAGTGGCTGCGATGTCGCTGAAACAACACATGTTTTTCTTTGTCATTTGGAAATATCTGGAAATAGGGAAGCCCAAAAATTCACTGATTTATAATGTGTTCTCTATTCAATGGTAACTTGGGGGGTATCTATCTGGGTAAATGATAATATTTCACTAACCTGAGATTGGCCATTTGGGGATGATTCCCCTTACTAACCATGATTCCAGTGAGGTCGCAGTGAGGTCGTTATAATGTACCCAACGCCAGGGTTCATAGCCCGACAAATCGTGAGACTATGTCCCGTTGTTCCCTTATTAGGAACAACACAATGAGATCTTTGCAAAATAAAAAATAAGCTGGAGACATCGAAACTGATGTCAAGATGCCAGTTAAAAATATAGCTGCCGTTGCGGGTTTTGTTGCCAGTCTCGTAGTTTTTTCATTTGTCGTCTTGCTGCCATACTTCTAGTGTACCATGTTCCTCGCATCTCAAGGCGGAGCTGTTGATAGCGTCTGTCATCGAGTTCCCAATCCATGCTTGGCAATTCATGCAAGGCAGTGCCATCTGGGGGTCCAGTGCTGCCCCGGAGGTAAGCTGCCAAAGTGTCATACACCCAATCCTGATGGGGGTACTCCGGTCGCCATATAAACCCACTGGTATAGAATGATGTTCCCTGGACGAACATCGCCTTCACAAGCTGTCTATCCAATTTAGGCCAGACCATGTCTGACAGCAACCCTGTGATCTGCAAGAAAAAGATGGAGAATGTCATCGCAAACTCAGAAAACTTAACATTATGTCCCATAGCCATAGCTCTATTTTTGAAGGTTACAAGAGTCTCATTGCCTTTACCATCTTCTCTTCGCAAAGGAAAAAACATCTTTGTGTATTGCATAAACGAAAGGACAAGTTCATACCAGCTGACTCCAATGTTTTGATGTGGCACCTGGTCTGGAGTCTGTGGCCAGCGAAATTCCCGCATCCATTGAACCATCTGTCTAGCAAGCCAAGGTCCCCATGCACAATCATGGGTCCAATCCAAGCGTAAATGTGGTGGTGTCCATGGTGGGTCTACCTTGTATGTTTTCAAACAGTCCCAGTTAAATGCAACTTCTCTTGCGGCGTTCTCATCGTGCTGTGTTTCCTTGTGCAGA